GAAGAGCCTTTCACACAGCACTCCATCATCCCTTAAGCCTGCATCCAAAAAGATCTTACCAACTGCGGCAGAGCACAGCTCTTCGATGCAGAAGTTGTCGATGACTTTCTGAAGCTCTGTGCTGCATCGGGTGTTCCAGTGCAGGGGTCCATGCGAGGACTCCTGCGACAGGCATGACTCAAGCTTCGAATTCTTCGCTCAAAGCTGGTGCCTGGAGTGGGCAACTGCCTAAGAATTTTTGCACCGTCACAACCGGAGTACCCACAAAACTGTGCGCTGTCACGGCAGGAATAGCGGCCACACTGTACCTTATCCTTTCAAGAAGAAGCATGCATCACAAGGCTCTTGAACAGGCGCCGATGCAAGGGAGCACAAAATCTCCTTCACTTCGAAGCCTCCCAGCTGAAGCCCTGACACCTGAGATCCAAAATCTCCAAAGCCTAAGCTTGCTCGCTTAGCCAGCCTGCCGCAAGAACCTGCCCGCATCCTGCATTGACTTTGGGACGGAACTTTCAACTCATCTTTTGATACCGTTTCGGTTTAGATTCAATACCAAGCAAGCATTGACGGATGAAAAAGCCAAACATGTCCTTCCTTCCCTGCTCCCACGTTACAACCTCAACTCAAGACTGACATGTGCAGCACTCAATAAACAAGGAACCCCTCAGCCCCCGTAGGTTTCCTTGCGCTTGGTTGGATCTATCCTCTTAAAGTCACACATATGACGCAAGGACTTTAGTCTTGTGGCCCGAGTACAGATCCATAGCAACGCTGCAGGCCTCCAAAGCGCATCATTTTCGGTATCAATGCTGTCTCTATCAGCCAACTTCTTGAAGCCTTCAAAGGGCCGGGGCAGCTCTCCGAAGCCCGCGGCTCCCGCCTGCGTGCTGCCGAAGCCGGGCAAAGCACCGACCTCGTCCATCTCCTCTTCATCGGCATCCTGGCATAAGAGACCCCAGTGCAGGATTCTTGCTAATGTGCCTCAAATGATAAGCGGGACTCCCGAAGAAGGAACCCTTGACTGGGGCAGATAGGAATCTCTAAATGTCGGCGTTAAGGATCTATGCAGGGCAACAGCTGAATTCGATTCCTGGACGCGCCTTTTGCACTTTAGGCAGTAAACGCGATTCAACCAGCGGCGATTCCACCCACACCGAGGTTCATACCAAGGAGCAGCCACACCCAGGCGTTTAAGCCAACACTCAGTGAATGCGGTGTTGTCGCCATAGGGGATGGTGACAAATTATGGCCTACCCTAAGGCCAGACTGCAGTGGGAGAAATCCTTCCAACTATTCTGCAGCCCTCCTTAAATGAATGGTGTCTCTTGGAACCTATCAAGTGGCCCCGTTCGACACGAGGTCACACACTCTATAGGTGGTAGGGTAAAGTTCGGGGGGAAACAGCCACAAACCCACCGAACCTGCATAAAACACCAGAGTCTGAATTCTTCCGGGTTGAGGAGCCAGAGTTCAGGGTGGAAGGCTTTGGGGTCAGGGGGATCACCGAAACAAGCCCCGAAATTGCTGGCCTCAAAAGGATCCAGCAAGTCCATAAACCTCTCCTGGCCCGGTCGCGACAGCTCTTTTTGCGTGGGCTTGCTTGTTTGCAACTGGCTGGCCTATTAGGGTTGAGACTTCGTTCTACAGACTGTGCGGCTTGCGAGATGCTGAGGGTTCTGTCAGGATCTGACCCCTGGGCTTCGATGAAAGGAGGGGCCCCACAGCTTTGGGTTCAGAACCTGGGACCAAGGAGGTTTCTCCCGCCTGTGACTGTGGAAATGCCATCGCCATTGCGGTGACCGGCTGCGTGAGGATCACCTGCCGAGCACTGAGCCAGGATCCGGCTGGCAGGCTCCAGCAAGCGCAATGCAGAAAACTGAAAAAAACTTGCATCCCCGAATGTGTGCAGGGCGTGTAGGCCTTCGGAGGACGAGACTCAGGCTCTTGGGATTAAAGGCTCCAAGGTCATTCAGAACTTAAAAGCACCGAAATCCTGAAGACCCCGAAGCCCCAACGTCCATCGGAACTTTGAGGAGTCCCGTCCTCGACACAGCACCGAAATAATCCGACTCGTGGCGTTTGAGCCGCAACGACCGCACGTGAACAGACATGCATTCCGAGCGCATGCAAGATGGAGAGCAGGCGTGTAGTGCTTGCGACGGGAGTACCAGTCTTTCTATGAGGACCTGGAAGTGATTGAACAAAGGCACCGGATGCTCCTACGACTGAATAGCAGCCTTTCACGGGAGGCACTGGCCTTGGCCCTTCTTCTAAGAATGACACTGACATTGGGGGCCTGCATGGCGACACGCAGCGTACCAACTCCAATTCAAACTCCTTCAATCCTCCAAGGAGGCTGAAAACTAAGCTCTAAGTCCAGCGGCGCTCCGGCAAAGTTTTCGTTCCCGCCCGAATTCTCGCCTTTAAGGCGATGGGGGTTGCAGTCTGTACAGGCTCAAATTTCAAATTATGCCTTTTGAAGGTCTGGCGGTCTGGCTGAACATCTTTGACTTGAAGTTTCCTGGCTCAGGGGCATGTATGCCTCCGGCCGCGCCCAAACCTCTGGCCCAGCTCCATTACACGGAACCTCTTCAAAAGCAGGACTCCAAACCCTGAAACCCGAATCGAGGGAACCTTCTTTTTACAGCAAACCTCACGCAAGAAACCCACCCGCTCCTTGGGTCGCAAGGATAGGGGGATGTTCTCCTTCTCCTGGCGCGACAGCGAGAGTCAATGGGGGTTTAGAGTTTAGAGTAGCGTTTAGGGTGGTCGAAAGATGGAAAGCTTCTTGGGCCGCAGAGCAGTCGGGCTTCTCTCCAAGAAAACATGCTACCCTTGCTTTCTAAAAGCCATGACCATGTCGATCGATGGCGACGTCTGGACTATGAGAAGCCGAGGCTTTAGATGTTCTTCTGGGGATTGCGTGTCGGTGAGGTCTGCGTCTCAGGAACCTCCGGGCCAAGGCCCATGAAACCCTCCTTTGAGCTCTAAGGAAGGACCCAAACCCGGCGAAGGTGTGTGAACTTGGTCGCTTGTTTTTTGCCTCCCCACTGGAACAGGTGAATCTGGAATAAGGTCGCTTGCAGCTACCGGGACGGCACCAAAAAAAGCCGCTTGGCATTCAACCGTAAACCTGCAGAGTTCCTGAATCCGGAACAGTGATTCGGATACCCCAAGCTGACGCACAACCCGTTTAAGAGGCCGAGGCACCTCGGGGACCCCGGCAAGGTCGAGCCTGAAGAAAGGGCGGTCTATGGAGGAGAGGTTAAGGCCTGAGGTTTCAGAGTTTTCTCAGAAGAAGAACACGAGAGAGACAGGAGTCATCGATGAACATGGTGAACGACAGTTGACAATCAGAAGAGCAGCACAACACTACTCCTGCCAGCGCCAGTTCCATGACAATAAGAGTCATTACGAAAACAGTGGTCGTAGGACTCAAAGAAACACGTGCGGTTTGTGAGAATAAACGGAGGCAAAAGCAATCGTGGTCGCAGGAGTAGTAGGAGTAGTAGTAGTAGTAGTAGTTGTAGTAGTAGGTGTAGTAGAAGAGTGTGCCGGGAATTTAGAAAAAATAATATTTGAGCAAGATTTCCAAGCAATCTTGCAATCTTGCCCCGCTTGCTCCACTTCGGAAAGGGGGGGCTAGCAAGATTGGTAGCAATCTTGCAATCTTGGTGTAAAAGGTGAACACTAGTCGGCGAGCAAGCGGGGCAAGATGACCAAGATTGCCAGTGGCCAACCAAGATTGACCAAGATTGCTGGATTGCAAGATTAGCAAAATTTACTCTACGATCATTTGTTCTAAATTCCCGGCACCATGTAGTAGTAGTAGTAGTAGTAGTAGTAGTAGTCGTAGTCGTCAGTACTCGTCGCAGTCGTAGTCGTAGTAGCAGTAGTCGTCGTTGTCGTGGTCGTAGTCGTCGTCGTAGTAGTAGTAGTAGTCGTAGTAGTCGTGCTAGTCGTGGTACTAGTATCAGTATTATTATTACTACTTTGAATATACTTATTATCATTGCTGTTTGTACTGGTAGTAGTAATGGTTGTGGTGGTGGTAGTAGTAGTAGTAGTAGCAGTAGTAGTAGTCGTAGTAGTAGTCGTACTAATATCAACAATATCATTATTATTGTGGATAAATAATACCATGATTGTTACTCTTATTAGAAGTAGTCGTAGTTGCGGTGTGGTAGGAGTGGTAGTGGTAATGGTACTGGTAGTGGT